CGGATCGAGACGCTGTAACGAAGCACAACATTTCTCGCCGCCGTCGTCGTCGTCGTCGTCGTCGTCGTCGTCGTCGTCGGCGTCGTCGCCGTCGTCGTCGTCGTCGTCGTCGTCGTCGTCGTCGTCGTCGTCGTCGTCGTCGTCGTCGTCGTCGTCGTCGTCGTCGTCGTCGTCGTCGTCGTCGTCGTCGTCGTCGTCGTCGTCGTCGTCGCCGTCGCCGCCGCGATACCAACGGCAAGTCCCGAGGAAAATAGCGAGCGAGCAAGTAAGGAAACGCGGTAGATCTTGTCGTCGGGTCAACCGACTGTTACTTAGTGTTGCTTAGGATTATTTCCGTCATCGTTTCTCTCGCGCCGTTGCGCCTGCCGCCCCCGCTTTCTGTCAACGTTTGTATGCGCGTGCCAGCGCGTTTCTCATAAATATCGTCCGGATTGTGAACCTTTTGGTCATGGCGACGTCATGGCGACACGGGCGGCAGGACGAAACTGGAAACTGTCGTTTCCAAAAGTTCCGCTTCCAGTTTTCATCGTCGCAGAAACGAACTCTACTTCCGAATGGAATCGCGGCGATTGGCGACGAAGCTGACTATTTTTTTGTATTCTTACGACGTATCGAGATTCTACTGAGACTGCTAATTAACTGACTGATATTATATTAGTATCAATCAAGTAACGTTTTTCTGCGTTGACAAGTTTAAAAGTTTGCAGGTTTTCTAATTTTTATACATTGTTTCGTAATTTATTTTATTAAAATATTAATATATTTTATTTATTCCCTTAGAATTTTATTAAGATATAGATAAAACATTAGATGTTTAGAGGATAATTGTAAGGCAACGCAAACACATACTTATAATTTTAAAATTATAAGATTAAAGATTATAAATTTTGTATAATATTGTCATAGTTCTCTTCCTCCCTCTCTGCTCTCTCTGTATCGCAATATAGAAAACGCAATAAAATCTAAGGGATTAATCTTTCCGCGAGTCAGCGATTAAATATTCCGAAAAATCGCTTATGTAAAAAATTTCATGACAAAACGGCAACGAAATAGACTCTTTGCCCGCTATTTTCAGCCGCGATCGAATTCATATTCGATACAAAGTGGGCAAAGTGATTGATTTGTAGAGGAGGAGAGAGTACGTTGCCACGTTGAGAATATTAGAAATTGACATCTGTGCGAGTTGCAACCGCAGCTGCAATTACATCGGGCAAAGGCGCGTCGTGATTGCGGGCGCAGTTTGCGGGCGCGGAACGCGAACGCCACGAGGCGGAATCGTGCGTACGTGTCCGGGTAATTATAGTTCGCCCGATGGGAAAATTATGAAAGAGCGAGAGAGCGCGAGGTCATTCACGCCACGCTCGCGACATTTATCTGGATAATCCTAAACCCGATGTCACATCCTGCTGCATCCGGTCGCGGCCGTACCCCCGATTCTCTAATTAGCTCGTTATATCCGTGGAGGCCGGTTGTGTCAAAACGTAGACCTATCGTCTCCTCCACCTTCGCGATACGTCCAAATACAATTTCGGCGATTTCCAGATTTCGCTTAGATACCGCGTGTGCGTTTAATTTAAACATCATTTTCAGTTATAATTTTTTTCATAAATTTCTTTTACAAAGATTTTATATCATAATCTCATAATCGATAGAAATTTAAAAATTATATTCAAAATACGTACATTTTTATAGATAAATGTAAGATATTTTAATTTTTTATATTAGAGTACGTATGAAATTTGTTTAGCGACTCTTGAAAAAACAAGACATGTGCAATCGCTTCTTTTACGCTATATCCTCTTATTTTTTTACTAAAACTTCTAAAACAGCACATGATACTATGTATTTTGAGATATCTAAAAGGATTAATAATTGTAAGCATAATTTGTTTAAAGAACCTAATTCGTTTTCTTATACAAATTGTATTGTATTCTTTCTTCTATCATTATATTTTCTTAATCATTATATTTTCTTAAATG